GCGGGTCAAATTGGATAAGCGATTCAGCGGATGGGTGATTTCACTGGAATTACGTGCGTTCCTCACTTGAAGCGAGTGTTTTTTTTCTTTCGCTATGTACAGTGCTACTTCACTCCTCGACGTGCAGCTTCTGTCCGTCGAAATATCTTGTGTGGACCTCGTCAATCTTTTAATATATATTACAATCCGTTCTTGCGTGGGACTCACAGCACCGCTAAGGGAATGCCGCAGAGCCTGGATAAGCTGGAAGGTTTGCATTGCCTCGAGACGGTCAGAGTTTTATTTTACTCTCAACGCACCATGGTAGAGGTGCGGCAGCGAGATCCCCGATCGATCATGCCGAACCGTGTCCACGAGGATGGGTCTTAAGGATGCCTCGATGACTGGTGGCACCATCCCCAGGCGAGAATGCTCAACAGCGAACGCGCATACATCGACCTTATTTACGGCGCATCCAAAAAATATGCGAGTTGGGACCCGGAGGTACGCTAGTGGCTATCCAGTCCGCCGTAAAGTTCTGACCGACGCGAATTTCTAGATCCCAGTCAAAGTCGGAGATTGGGGAAGGATGACACGAGGCAAACGTCGGCTACGATTGTGTTTCTGGCGCAAGACGGGCATATTCTTGAAGGAGGGTAACATTTTTGAAGACGGAAAGGCCGAAGAGTACAATATTCTCACACCGGTCGAATATGGGGAGGAAACTGCGGGAGGAGAAATGTGGGTGGTCTCTCAAAATGCGCAGCAAGTAGACATTGAAGCAGCGGTTGGCGGGTGCGTTTTGTGGATTATATTTACCGTGAACTCACAATCCCATCAGGGCAACCCCCGCCTTGGTGCAGTGCAAAGTCAACGGCGCCTTTAAATTCTTGTCGGGCCGTGGAGCAATCCTCGTGATGGAGAACGACAAGATATCGTCCATCGACCCGCCAGGGTCGCTGAGGCGCCTTCTGAAGGATCCGAGCATGCGCGACGCGGTCATCGTCTCCGAAGTCCACAGCTGCTCGTCCTACGCCCGCATGCTGACTGCCCAGGAAGGAAGCACTGTAGCCCTCGGCCTCAGTGTAGAGCCGCCCGTCGCGTCCGTATCGGCCACCACGAATGTGACATGGGTGCGCAGCGGGGCTTCTGGAAATTTCAAATCGCAGGTGAACAACAAGGGCGAGCGCAAATTCTATCCGTTGTTCCGTCTGGTCTCGCTGACGGAACAGGCAACATCGACTGGCTTCCGCGGCGAAGAGGATCTTGATGCCCTGCCGCTTCCGGATGCTGAGCCTCCGTGGCAATCAACTGAGGCCCCGGAAGCCACTGTGTTGGAGGAGTAGTGCACTACCTTGCATATTTACACACCTGCTGCCGCGTGTTCATACACACCATTTATTGAAGTTCTGTCCTCCAGTCCCAACCTTGATCGGCGGATCTAGCTTGGTGAGGAACATTCATCGCTCTATCTGGCTGATCCGAGAACTTGGGCCCGGGTTCCCTCTTCTAAGGGGGTAGAACACTGTTGCAAGGCGCTCTGGATTTCGGAGGCTGCACACACTAGGTACCCAAAGCGGAAAGAACGTGGAATACTGTAGATTGTCTTTCGCTCCGCTTTAAAGAGCTCAAATATCCGTCCAAGCCGCTTGATATGTTATATCTTACCTTGAATACCTTTGAGATCCGAGAAATAATTGCGATCGATGAGTTTCTCCCTGTTTCCCGCAACTATTGAAGCAGAGACATCGACAAATTGAGTATTCAGAGACAGAATGGTCCCTAAGTCGCGTGAGGATGTATGAATGACTTATAATGCATAAATGGGAGTCCTCGCGGATCTCTTGCTCGGACATCTCAAGAGTAATGTTGCCGATACTTCGAGGTCGAGTCAAACCGAGTCGAGTATAAGAAAGTCGCCACGAAGTCGACTTGAGTTGATTTTTTAATGAAAACTTCTGACCAACTTCTGACACTAAGTCGACTTAGGTAGGCTGAGTAATTGATTCTAATAAATTGAAGTCGGATCTTATTTTTCAAAAATGAATAAAATTCCATAAAAATTGAGCTTCATGCCATCAATACTCAGAAATATCAGGTGTGGCGCAGGAATGCTACTCAAGCTCCACCCTCCGGCATTTCGAAGTACTACCTGTCAAGCAGATCCCAGTCACCCCAGATCTCCCTTCGCAAGTTCTTCTGCTGTTCTCCATCTGCTTCAGTCCCACCAGTTGAGCACGCCGACGGACGAATGATTGGCGGCGTTGACAGTGACAGAGCCCGCGTCATCACTCTTTATCCCCGCTCGCTCTTCCTCCTTCCACTGCACACTGCACACACATCTGCGGCCCTTGGTGGTGGGGCTGCGCGAGGCTGTTTCTGCTTGAACTGCGGGGCTGGCATGCTTCTTGCTTCTTGACTTTACTCCCGCGGACCCAGGTACAGGCAGATACAACAGACAAGGAACCATTGAAGTACACCAAGTACAAGGTCTGGCAGTTGGAATCGAATGATGGATGGATCGTTCCTCGCGTCCTGGATGCCTGTGGACCGGAATACAAAAAAAATGGATCCGAAACTTCAGCGGTGTGCGTCGTGCGATACTCGGGTCTTTCTGTGGATCTGGGGCATCGAATCCTGGGTCTTTCGAGTCCCACGAATATTTCTGGCACCCCACGAATATTTCACGACGCAAGTCAGTTCAACCGCCAAAGCCTCCAACATACCCGAGTCCTGGCGAATTAATTGGTTCTTTTCGTGGATACGGGAGATATCTGCGGCAATCAATCGTGCCGTGGCCCGCCTTGAACGCGCAATGGACTTCATCTGTCGACGCCTCGAACCGCCAGAAGCGCGATCAAGGCCTTACATTCTGTCCGCGAGCTAGACCCCCCGCGCAAACCTCTTCGAACGGCCGCCTTAACGCATATTCCACGTTATGGCACCGCGCTGGTGGATCAACGGACTTGGCCCTTTCTGTCGATCTTAGGCCGCAGTCTAAACCTGAAGCTGCTCACACGATTATTCCGTCAACTAATACTATTCAAGCCGGGGCTCCTTGGGCCCGGAATCGCTTGCTCCATGCGAACGTCAAACCAGCTTCGACACCGCCGCGAGTCGATTTTTATCTATAATACCAGCTCGGCACGCCTTCCACCCACGTATAAACGCCGACTCTTGAATTCCTTTTCTCTGCTGCATCCATACCCACCCACCCATACAACCTTCCTAGGATCATGTGGCGCCTTTGCCCGGGAAGTCTGTTCAACGCGTCAAACGTGAACCTTGCTCGAACCCCCCTGCACTGAATTCTCTTCTGTCGATCTGGAATACCAACTCGGCACGCCTCCCACACAGAAATAAACGCCATCTCTTCTCTGTCCCACACACAACCACAACCACAACCACAACCAAAGCCCTTCCTTCCGCGCTTTTGAGTTACTTCTATGACTCTCACCTGGTCCGCGCTCGCCAGTCTCAGTATCTTCGCCGCGTCGTACTCGTTCATACGCTCGGGCCCATCTAATTCAACTCTGTCTTTCTTTCAGTGGATCTACAATGAACTCGGCCTGCTTCCCACCCACAACTAACACCCCCGTATAGCATACGCAATCACCACTCAGGCACAGACCCACACTATCGAGTTCCTCTGTGCTGGTTCTTACATGACTTTCCCCTCGCCGCGTCTCAAAAATTGACAATGCGCGGGACATCACTCTTACTTAATCTTCTATTGGGCTTGGGGACTGAATGCGGCGCCTCCGTCTGGGTGCAAGTTCAACGCTTCGAACTTGGCTCAGCATCTCGAATCGAACCTCTTTTTGTTCTTCCTGTAGATCTGGGAGAGTATCCAGCTGGGCGCGGGCAGAGATAACCGGCGCGATTTCTCGATATCCCCTGCATGCCACATCCAACCACACCCGCAATCAGACCGATTTTGTGTTTCTCTTCGTGTTCCACCCCGTCGCAAGTTCATTTTGTTTATGACTGTCGACTGGACCACGTCCCACAGTTGTGCGAGATCCTAACGCGCTGTGCATCGACTTCGCTCTGAAATCGAATTCGTTGGGGCGGCTGGGTTCCCGCGATGAATCGAGCTGGATGAATATCCGAGTCAATTCAAGGGGAGGTGGCGCCTTCGCCCGGGTGTCCACGCCTTGAAGCGCCCCGAGTCCGATCGCATTTTTTTTGAACGCACTTCGACGCGCCTCCCACCCACAAGTGATCAAGGTCTCTGTGATATAGTTCCCTCCTGAATAAATGGTACACACAACGGCAACTTAAGCACAGACATATTCTTCGAGGCACACCCTGTCGGGTTCCGCTGGGCTGAATTTCTTTTTGCTTATTTGGACCGCCTCTCGCGGATCATGACACATGTACTTCCTCGCGTGAGGCGTCGCTCTTGTGGTCGCCCGTATTTGTTCAATTCTAACGCGCTGGCACATCGACTTCAACGTGGCTCTGATATTGAAATCATCCTGCAACTGGAGCTGTCGAGTCCCACGAATATTCCTAAAGCAGCTCCGAGTACTACATAGTCTCGTGAGTATTTGGATCAATTAATTCGGCCGTGGCTTCCTCGACAGGCTGCAAGTTCGACGCGCAAGTCAGTTCAATGCGATAACACGTCAGCGAATTTATTTCTTTGTTGGCTCAACTCTAACTCATATCACAACCCTCTTCAAATGCCGCCAGCTTCGCTCCGTTGGGAGTCCCGCTGTGATAATTTCATCTTCCTAACTTCGCCTGCCTGCGTCTACATAGATCTTCAACGTCGACTCAAACGGCTGGCTTACACCTGCCATAACAAATTTTCCAGCTGCGCAGGATTTGTAAATCCCTTTCGAGGTTCGAGCAAAACCGAGGCAACCCGTGATCTCCACGCCATCGAGTTTCGTTCACTGGCGAGCAAATATCCGAACAGCCAGGACGAATATTTGCGTCTTCAATTATGGGGGACGCCGGTGCCTTCGTTATCCAACTCCTACGAATACTTTCAAGCTACGTACTCACAACAAGGAGTGATGGCGAAGCGGTTCACCCTGCGCTGGATCATGTTGGGACAGCACATAACCAGGTTGCTGCCGGTTCGATTCGGGCTCGCTCCATACGAAATGCTCCATTCAATAACTACAAGCAGTTGTCACCCGTTGAACTCGGGCTCGCTTCCTTACGCGCCTCACGAGTTCACTCTTGGTTTTTTGCGTTACTCATTTCTGGTGTCCTTTCTCTTCAAAATCGGTTCAACGGCGAACACTTTTCAATGGGCTCAAATCCACCGACTTTCACTCAAACTGAGAACCAAGTCAAAAGAGGAAACGGAGGTGTTACGAACAGGCTTGTACAGTAACATATGTTGGCAAGTAGGGTAGAGGTAACTTTTATTATATGCTTTGGTCATGCCCCAGTATTTCCCTCTCTATAAAGTTATGTGTGTCTGTCCGAAGCTTTTCAGGCTCCGCTGATGGGCGCATGTGTTGCAGCGGCATCACAACAAAGACATTTCAGCTTTACGATACCGAGCCTACTTGCCGTGCACGGAAACTTAACGGCTTATTCCGGGTCTCAACAGCTTCTTGGAGATTGAGATCATCATGATCCCTTGAATCGAACCGAAGCGGAGGGGCGCGGAGCGCCCCGCGGCGCTCTTGTGCTTCTTTAAGTCTGAAATCATACCTTCGGTTTAAACCGAAGTCACGGGGCGCGACCTGCCCTGCGGCACTCTTCTTATGTTTCCCCCTTACTGCGCTCTGTTTTTCGACATGATGAAACTCCTGACAATCGTCTTATGCCCATCATCTCTCAGTCAGTTGTTAAAATCTCAGTTGTTCGACATGCCTGTGAACCAGTCACAGAACCCCTCTCTACACCCGTTGAATGTCCTCCGTGCCTTTTACATCAACTTTGTGTGTAGTGGAAACACCTTTGCGGCCAATCAACGCAAGCCCTGACCTAGGACATTCTTGATGAAGAATACTATGGTTTACTTGCCTCCTCTGTTGTTCCTCCCATGTCGAGACACTCGCTGGGTTCTCATTGATGATACTGTTTGACAGCGCTATAACAGTCCGATATGGGATATTCCACGGCAAGACAGGTACAGTGATAGTTTGATAGTTAGATGTGTCATAGAAAGAAGATCGACCGTCGATCTTCCTTCTGTGACAGTAGCCAATGAGACCAAAGGTTCCCTGGCTCCCCCTGCTATAAAGTTCCGGTGACCTTCAGATGCCATAACTTGACCCATCCCAACATGCCCCGTCAACCAACGATAACTGAAGTCCGTTTGAACAACATTTCAAAGTGTGTGACCATCACAGCCAACACTCTCGATGTCCTTGTCAACACTCTCGATATTCCTGGTCTGGAAGCTATCTCAAATACCATGCAGTCCCTTCTGGAATTGGTGCAGGTGCACTCCCCCTTGAATCAGGATTTCAGGACATTTTGAGTTGAAACTTTTGTTAGAGTGTCAAACAAAACAAGGGTGATTGTGCTGAGTTGATGGAGCACACTCATGAGGTGCTCAAGGCAATTATCGGGGTATACATCAAGTCAGATACTGGTCCTGCATTGCCACCAAGCACATTGAATCAGATTGTAAAATCCACTGAGTACTTATATACCCATAGCCCATTTACATTTCTCACTCCAACAATTTAGGACCCTCCACAAAATTCATACCTTTGTTGAGGCTCAACAAAGTGGTAGTAAAGTCAGGAAGTTTTTCCGGCAGGGAGAACTGGCTACTCTGCTCAAAGATTGCAAGGGTGGATTGCAGCAGGCACTTGATTTCTTCAATGTAAGTACTCACACTCAACGCATATGCCAACTAACAATTGCAAAGATCAAAACTGTCGACATCATGATCAATGTGAGGGAGATGCAAGACCAGGCTCAACTCAGGCACCAAGAGATACTCAACATGATTGAAACTTTGTCTAGTTCAGATTCGGCATCCTCTGTAGGTGAGCAGGTTCTTTGAGTGTATCAGTACTCACAGATACCCAGATTAGCAACATGTACTCTGGATCATATCCAAGGTGCTTACCTCCAATGACTCTGTTTCTTCGTGTTTATCAATCTCGTAGCTCGAACTCTATTTCAATGCTCCCAGCGGAGCCAAAGATATTCCATGGTCGTGACTCGGAACTCGCAGATATTCTTACGCTCTTCAGGCGGGGCAGTCCCAGAATTGCCATTTTAGGTGCAGGGGGGATGGGAAAGACTAGTCTTGCCAGGACTGTGGTTCACCATGAGGAAGTAACCACCAAGTACCATGGAAATCGGTTTTTTGTTACCTGTGACACTGCATCAACCAAACCAGAACTTACAGGTCTCATTGGAGCACATCTTGGAATGAAACCTGGGGAAGACCTCACTCGGGCAGTCTTACAGCACTTTTCCAGTAGCCCACCTAGCCTGTTGATCCTCGACAACCTTGAGACAGTGTGGGAGCCAGTTGAATCCCGTGAGGAGATTGAAGAGTTTCTGTCTCTCCTCGCAGATATCAACAGTCTTGCATTAGTGGTTTGTGAATCTCCCTTTTTCTTATCAATATCACTCACGAAGCTGCAGATCACAATGCGTGGAGCAGAAAGGCCATCCAAAGTGCAGTGGACTCGGCCATTCTTACAGCCCCTACCACCTTTGGCACAGAATGCTGCCCGAAAGATGTTCATTGATATTGCGGATGACAAGGATCCCCTGGAAGAAGTGGACCAGATCCTTTCTGTCACAGACAACATGCCACTTTCAATCAGCCTTCTTGCACATTTGGTAGATATAGAAGGTTGTAGACAGGTGTTATCCCGCTGGGAGACAGAGAAAACTTCCCTCATCTCTGATGGCTCTGACAAAAGATCCAACCTGGAGTTATCAATCTCACTCTCCCTTTCAAGTCCCAGAATTGCTTCCACACCACAGGCCCAGGATCTGTTAGCTCTACTATCTATGCTGCCGGATGGCCTTTCAGATGTAGAGCTCAAGCAAAGCAATTTTCCAGTCACAGATATCCTCAGTTGTAAAGCTGCATTGCTGCGTACAGCTTTAGCCTACACTGATGGCCATAAGCGGTTGAAGGTCTTGGTGCCTATTAGGGAATATATGGGCAAACTTTTCCCCCCCACAGACCAAATGATACAACCAATGTTCAAACACTTTCATGAACTCCTGGATTCATACAAGGCGATGTTTGGCACAAGCTCTGGGACAGGCCCCGTGGAACGGATCACATTGAATTATAGAAATGTTGAGAAAATCCTCCAAACTCGCTTAACAATGGAGGACCACAATCTTGCAGATGTCATTTACTGCACATGTGATTTGAATCGCTTCAGCCTACGCATTGGGCATGGAGGAACTCTTCTTCTGGGGGAAATCATTAAGCTTTTTCCATCCCTTGGAGACCATCGGTTGAAAGCCTATATAATTATTGAATTAGCCCAATCAGTGCAGCATCATCCAATCCCTCATCTGGAGCTGTTGATAGCTGAGGCCTTGAACCACTTCAAAGATTTCAATTATCCCGACCTTGAAGGCATGTTCTCTGTTCAACCTGATACAATCAAAAAAACTTAGACTTTGTTTCCCAGCCAGGTTTCACTCTAGTCTGGGGCATTACTACTTGCACAATGGCAACATTCCCACAGCTTTACAGCACGGCCAGATTGCCCTCTCCTTGGCACAGGCCCACAGAAATCTCAAGAGACAATGTGATGCACTTGACCTCCTTGGATACATTGAAATAGTTGCTGGTGACCATGCTGCTGGCCGAGCCCATGCACGGGAGGGGCAGAGACTTGCTAAAATCTCTGGAGATGTGCACAGAGAGGCGCGTGGACTATACAGTGAGGCCCTTTCCTTGATGTCACTAGGTGATTACAGGAAGTGCATTACTCTGACCAAGAGGGGTAGAACAGCTCTGGGTTTATGTGGTCTGTCTCATGGGCTAAGCAACTATGCGTTGATGGGAATTCAGGCTGAAGTTCACAAGCTCAAATCAGAATATGCTGAGGCATATAACATCCAGAATCAAATTCTACAAGCAACAGCTGATGATTACCAGCAAGGCTTTTCCTTGATCAATATGGCAGAAATCAACATCTTGACTGGGGTTCCAAAGCCCCAGATACAGAAAAAGATTGAAGCATCACAAATCATTTTCAGAGCAAGTAATAATGGAATGTTAATTGATGCGTGTGATACCATCCAAGCAGATCTGAACCTTAGAGATGGGGATATGTCAAGTACACAATTTTGTAAATGTCTTCAACTTGGGTGGGGGAAGTACTCAGAGCGAGTTAGTTTCTGCCTGGAGAGGCTTGCAAACATCAGTTGCTGGGAGGGCTCTCATCCGACCTTTTGGTCTACTGTTTATCTTGCACATTCACTCAAGGTGAAAGACAGGCTGGGAATTTACAAAGCCTTGCAGTTCCTGGGTGATGTCTTTCTCCCAGAGGAGAATGAAGTTGCAGCCACATCTCTGTTCACTCTTGCCCTGGAGGGATTCACCAAAATGGATGTTCACCGCAGCAGAGCAGAGTGCATGATCCGACTTGGGGATATCTCCAACAAGCATGGTGATTTCCGGAAGGCGCTGGAGCTATGGCAACGTGCAAGGCCACTCTTTGAACGCTCATCACAGGCCAAGAGGATCCAGAATATTGACGAGAGGTTGGCTGGGCTTAGTAAGGATGTCAAGGAACAGCACAAAAGGAGCTTGGCTAGACTCACTGAGCTCAATGCTCCTGTGGGAACGGTGGAAGAGCTGGATGAGGATTTATCAGAGGACGAAGTGGAAAATGAAGAGACCCAGTTGGTTGCAGCGTGATTTGTGAATAACTATCCCTGGCATCCCTTCCCTTGCTTGTAGTATTTATGTGAGGCTACTTCAGTTCAGAAAATATCTCTAATTATTTATTCACACCTGCGGAAAGCTCAAATATAACACCACAAGGTGTGTTGAGTGAATGAGTAGGTGTGCAGATGAGATAATTGGGTATCAGCTTATTCCACCCGCGCCTGTGTCACGGATGTTGCCACTATGGATTCCTAGCGCACATTCGCCTGCCCCTCACGGGACCCTTGTTCATCACTTGGCAGGTTG